GGTTCTGGAACAGCTAAATGCTGGACATATTAAAGAATCTACCAACTCTTGGAATTCTCATCTATTTGTTCTTAAAAAGAAATGTGTAAAATGGAGAATGCTTACAGACTTGGGAGCCATCAATAAAGTAATTCAGTCAATGGGCTCTCTACAGCCTGGAATGCCCTTGCCTTCTCTGATATCCAAAGAATGGCTTATTATAGTTAACGACTTAAAAGTTTGCTTCTTCACTATCCCTTTTCAAGAAAGAGATAAAGAAAATTTTGCCATCATGGTGTCTATTTACAACTATTCTCAGAAGTATCAACGGAAGGTCCTCCCACAGAGAATGTTCAATAGTCGCACCCTGTGCCAATATTTTGTGCAAAAACCATTGGATATAATTCATGAACTGTTTCCACAATGGATAGTTTACCATTATATGGATGATATGTTGATCGCTCCTTCGAATGCAGAGGTGTTAGAAAAAATGATTGAGGAAGTAAAGAAAGTTTTGCCTCACTGGAGATTACAAATTGCCTCCAAAAATACAAAGAAGATATTTTATCAATTATTTAGTGTATAAAATAGGTCTACAGAAAGTTAAACAACAAAAAGTACATCACAGGAGAGATCAAAATCAGACTATTAATGATCTTGAAAAATTAGTAGGAGAGATCTCCCAACTACAGACTATTATTGGAGTAGAAGGACAGGATGTAAAAAAATTTGAAAAAGATCATAAAAGGGGACAAGGACTTAAATAGTCCAAGAATATTATCAGCTGAAGCTGAGAAAGAATCAGAATGTGTATGAAAGAGAATGCTAGAGGCACATGTGGACCATGTGGAGCCAAACCAAAGTGAGACTAAATTCTGTTATAATACCATCTAAGGAATACCCTTCAGGGATTTTGATTAGAGAGAAGATATCATATTAGAATGGATATTTCTAACACATAAACATAATAAAAATTAAAACATGTACAGAAAAGATTTCCGATTTGATTTTAAAAGGAAAATTAAGACCTCATCAACTGACAGTAACAGACCCAGCAGAAATTATAGTACCTTTAACTAATGACTAAATTTCCTCCTTATGAAAAGATAATGAATATTGGCAAAGAGCTTGCAGTAAATTTTTGGAAATGATTAGCAACAATTTCCCCAGAAGTAAGAGAATAAAATTCATAAAGAAAACCATTTGGATCCTTCCACAGAAGGGCAGAGAAAGGCTGCAGGGGCTCTTTATGATTGTTTATGTTAGTTGTTACCCAATAAAACATCCATTTATCATTTATCTTGGGTCTAGTGAACTTACTATTCTCACCCACCTTCATAATGCTTGTTCTATCCTCTCAGAGCTCTCAATCTTGAGGGAACACAGGAATAGCAGGGAGCGGTTGAGGCTTCCTGTGTCTGGTTCAGATAAAAACAACACAGGACGCATCAACAGAATCGCTCTTTTCCATGATGAGGCTATGGGAGTTACTTGATCAACATGCCTACATAAGGATGCTTTGCAGTTGTTAGGTGATGACAGGAGAATTCATGACAGCCAGTAATGCATGTGCTTCACTTTCCCAGGTTTGACAGCTACCCCACCACTGGAAAGGGGTCCAGAGTCACTGGGTTGCCATTGAGATTATACCTGTTGTTTCATGTTTGCTGAGGATTTCCTGGTTTATGCAGGTCATGTGAACTTCGCTGTGCAAATGCATTGGTCGTTTCTGGTTCCTTCTGGAATGGTTGACCATGTAGAGGTCTGTGTTTATGGTTATTTGCTAGATGTTGCCTAGTGCATAGATCCTAAATTCTAGTTAGATGAAGAAGAGATTCTGACACAAGCATAGGAAGCTATGTGTGTTGACTGAACATGGACTCCAATCTCAACTGGCTGCTGGCACATAGTATGCTGTACCCACAGTTCCATTCTGACCAGTTGCTGGAAGCCTTCTGAGCATTATTTTGGGTGTGTGTTACACATGTGTTCATTTCTGTGTGTAGTTGTTCAAGGATTCATAAATCACCCTCAAGTTTCTCTTTTCTTTAGCCTTCCACGTTGATTATTCATATTATATATAGTGCTCTGTTAGCATGTATCCCTCCAGGGAAGAAGAGGGCACTAGATTTCATTACAGATGCTCTTGAGGCATCATGTAGTGGCTGGGAATTGAACCCAGGACTTCTGGAAGACCAGCTAGTGTTCTTAACCCTGAGCCATCTCTCCAGCCACCCACTTTGATTTTTCAAAAGCAGTCTGTCAGCAGTTGCAGAACTCACCAGTTCTCCTAGACGCCTCCCTGAGAATCTCAAGAGTAGGAATCACCTTTATGTGGTGGTGTAGCCATCAATGTACCTGGGTGCTGGACAAGGATACAGGTCCTTATTGTTTTCTGACAAGGACTTTGCTGCCTGAGGCATCTCCCCAACACTACTCCCTAGTCCCACTTTCTTAATACCAATGCTCACCATGAATATTCCTATCTCTGGTTCTCATGAACTTTGTGTTCCCCAGAATGTGAAAATCCACATTCAGTTTTCTGGGCAGAGGGTAAGTGGTACCTGTCTATCTGTGCTAATTTGACTTTGGCCTGTGCACTGACCCAAAGAAGATGAACCAAATAAACAACACAAAGACATTTCCTGCCTGTTGTTTAGAACTGTCATGAAATTCTGGCGGTTTGGCTGTGTGGAGTCAGCATGGCTCCTGGCCTCCTCATTCTTACCAGGAATTGTCTTAGCTGAGGCTCTGAGGGGGCTCTTTCTCTTGTTTCTCTGAGCTTTGGGAATTGCAGGCAACCATGGTGTCCATCGAAACTTTTCATCCTGTAATACCGTTTCTGAAGTTTCTGGCTCATTTCTCAGTGTGTCTGTCTGCTATAAAGGACCAAAGCTACACTCTGTACATCGAGAACATTCATGGTGATCTCAAGTGCAGAGGAGATTCCATCTTCCATGTCCTGACACCAGTTCTCTATAAAATGTGTGTAATGAGGGATGTATTTCAGTCACAGAGTGCTGCCCCATCATAACACAGAATCTGATAGAGGTTTGTAGCACATACAGATGAAGGCACAGGCCAATAACTGTAGGACCAGCGCTTGGGCAGTGGAGGCAGATGCAACAGATATTTGAGGTCACCGTGAGATACATAGGGCCTTCATTCACCTACAGAACAGGTTGCTGGCCCCATCTCAAAGAATCAGAAACAAAAATACCTTGAGAGGGGGTGGAGAGGTGCATTAGTGACTAGGAGCATTGCATGCTCTTCATGATGATCTGGGGTCAATTCCAAGCACCCACATGGAAGCTCACAACTGTCTCTAATTCCAGTTCCAGGGGACAGTACGCCCAAGGTAAAATACTAATAATCATAAATCAAAACCCTGCAATTAAATAAAAATAATTTGAAACCGGATGGTTGTGCATGACTTTAATCCCAGCACTCATGAGGCAGAGACAGGTGGATATCGGTGAACACAATGTCAGCCTGGTCTACACAGATAAATTCAGGACAGGCTCAATAAACAATACCTTGAGAGTCACAAATCATACCAGAAAAGTTTATATTTTCTTTTATGAATCTCTATGTGAGTGTGAGTATGAGTGCGTGTGTATGCTTCTTATTGCATGTGTGCAGACACACTTGTCTGTGTGTATGTTTATTTTGCTGTATGTGCATGTGGAAGCCACAGGAAAGCCTCACTGCTCCCCAGACACATTCACTGTGTGTTTTTTGGAGACAGTATTGATATGGGCTTCAGTGATTCTGCTAGGCTGGGACTGACAGTGAGACCCAAGCATCAGTATTTGCTGCCTTGTCAGTGGTGGGACTCCAAGCATATGCCAGCATACCTGTTTGTTAAAGGAGAGGGATGAAGTCAGGTCTCATGCTTGCCTACCAAGCAGTCAGCAACACCATTCTCTCAAGCTTCATTTGCTGTTTTCCATTCCTTTTGTTTGTTTGTTTGTTTGTTTGTATTTTTGGTGTTTGGTTTTTCATGAGAGTGTTTCTCTGTGTAATGGACTTTGCTATCTGGAACTCCCATTGTAGACATCTTGAACTCACAGAGATCCCCCTGCCTCTGCCTCCTGAGTGTTCTTCCGTTGTTTTCATTTTCATGTTTCCTCTAGCTGCTCAGAGGTCCTTGTGGGTCTGAATATCCTGATGCAGATCTGTGCTGATGGCTGCACAGCTGAGGCAGGGCCATCTGAACTGAGGGCCTCCTGTGACCTCGGCTCTCTCATTGACCTATAAATGGTTTCCTCCATGGCTGGCAGCTTTACATCCCTTGAGGTCACCTTTGCATCTCCCATCCCAGGAAATGTCTGTGCTGTTCCCACCAATGAGAACCCTGTGCCATGTGATCCTAACTCTTTTGTGTACTACTCACATCAATGCCATCAAGAAGCATTGGGTATCCCTGTGGACAAGCTGCAGACTTGACATATCTGTGGGATTCAAACACAGCTACCATCCAGATATAGGTGCCCTGACCCAAAAGATGCTACAAGTGTCAATGACATAGCTTTGGTGTGGAGCATCCCCAGAAAGCCCATGCCACAGTGAAGAGTACTCAGGATTAGAAATCCTGTCTGAGGAATTGTACTGCAATATTTAATTTACTTGAGGCTGAATATCATAGGTTTCTTTCAAAGACAAGTTATGGGTGAGGATGAAAATCAAGTGAACATTTAATAAAGTAAAGGAATTTTCATGTCAGTCCAGGGAAATCTTAGTGCAACTACAGAGAGTGTAACACTGCTCCAGGTTCAAATACAGTCCTGATGTGTCAACATCAAACAGAAGTGACCCATAGGGTCCACAGTACTGAGTGAATGTGGGAATGGCTCCCACACAAAGTGAACAGTTGCCATTCATTGGGGGTCACTCAGAGGCTACTGCCAAGGGTTCACCCTTCAGTTCTTCACAGATTGGAGCCACACACAGGCTTTTTTTTGGTTTTTATGAGACAGGGTTTCTCTGCATTGTTTCGGAGGCTATCGGTCCAGCTCGGCCTCGAACTCACAGAGATCTGCCTGCCTCTGCCTGCCGAGTGCTGGGATTAAAGGCATGTGCCACCACTGGCCGGCCCACACACAGGCTTTTGAGCAGACTCACCTGAGGAGACAAAAAGTAAATTGAAACCACAGTTATGTAGGAGCCTGTCACTTGAATGCTGGTGGACACAGTCACAATTATTGCAGGTTGAGAAACAGATCCCACACGAGAGAACAATTATTCATGAAAGATGAAACCTTCATCATGTCTTGTTCTATTCCGTTTTCTTCATGCCTCCCATCTTTTATGTGTGTCTTGTTCATCCATGTTTTCGATTACTTGCATGTGATCACTCATGTGTGATAGGAGGGAGTCTCAAGTGTCCTAGTTACCTGGTTTTCTGAGACACTCTCCTTGAAGCTGGAGGTTGTCAATAAGCCTAGACCACCTTTACAATCATCAGAAGGGGACATCTCCTTTCTATCTTCACAGAGGTGGAGTATATGCTCACACTGGTGTGCAAGGCTTGATATGGTAACTGCTTCTGAGCTCATGTCCTCATGTTTGCAGACCAAGTTTGGTGGAGTGAGTTATCCCTGCCTCTAGCAGGACAGTTGATGGCTAGATTTTCATCTGATGATATGATAACTCTCAGGAACCTACTGTAGTCAGCATTGCAATGGTTCATGGGTCCTGTGTGGTGATCAGTCTCCTGTAGCAGCTGTTAGTGAGGCATGAAAAGCTTGAGGTTGAATATGTTTCCTGTGTTATGGAGATTTTAGGACTCATGAGAGCCTGCAAACTAAGGAAGACAAAGGATATTATCCATTTCCTGCATGTGAGCAGCATGGGGAATCAGGAAGTATGGCCAAAAAGACTCACATCTTGACTTGTGTTAAGATGAGCAGTGTGAATTTGCTGGCTAAAGGGGCAGAGAAGTGACCATATGCATTCCTGAGCAAAGACACCAGGGAAGGTGAGACTTGGTGCCCTCAAAGCTTTGAAAGGAAGTGACCTGGCTCTTTGGATGGTGTCCCTAATGGATTCTGTGACCTTGTCTGTTTCGGACATGTTTATCTAACATTGGCCCTGGCTAGACAGCCTTTCTTTTGTCCAGACTTATGACCTGGTTCCATTAGGCTGATTATCTGGCAATGCCCACTCCTCCACCCCTTCGGCACCATCATGATATGAAACAGATCATGAGGTAACAGTCACATAGAATTTGTCATTTTTCCCCTTTATAATTCCCCATGGCCAAAGCTGTGAAAATAATCCATTGTTGCTTAGAAGACTTTCCTAACCCAAGGAGCTGATTGACAGGACACTCCCTGAACTCCATGGTGCCTGGGCTGGTCCAGAACTTATGTTTACATTGACTACTGTGTCTATGATAGGCAGGGGCTAGAAGACACAAACACTAATGCAGAATGTCCCACATGCTTGAGCAAGTTGCCACAGAGGCCGTGGCATGGGCTGGTTGACAGGCTGCCCCTGTGGTGATACCTCCATTATGACATATGGCAGACCACTGATGTGTGCTTGGTCTCCCAATGAAAATTGTGGGGTGTACCTGTTATGTGTTCTTTTTCATAAACATAGTCATGATTCAGCCCATTCTGACCTGTTAGGTAGTCATGATCATCCAACTGGATTTGGGGTGCCAAACGGCTCCCCTAGTTGAGGGACTCCACAAAAGAAGCTTCTTTGGGATATGAGTGGAGTGCAGGAGTCTCTCATATCTCTTAAGTGTTCATGAAGGCACAGGTCTGTAAATCTGGAGCATCTTCATGGGGAGAGAGACATTGGTGTTATCTGCTCTCTGAAAAGGCAGGAAGAGCAGAGGGGTGGGACATAAACATATCTCAATGCAATGCTACCCAAAGAAATTCCTTTCCAAGCCCCTGGTTAATAAGCAGTGTTAGTTAGAGTAAGAATGTCCCTTATAGGTGAACATGTTTAGGTACTTACCCCACTAGCTGAAACTGAGAAGGAACAGGAGGTTTGGCCCTTTTGAAGGAGGCATCACAGAGCATTAAAGAGATTCAAAATCCAAATCCATTCAAAGTCATCTCTCTGTGTGTCACACTTGAGAATCAGAGGTAAGTCATCAGCTACAGCTCCAATGCCATGTCATCCTGCCTGATGCTAGTTTCCCATAACAATGGACACGTACTGTTACCCTGTGCAACTGTGGACCCTTAAGTCCCATGCTTTCTCTAAGTTGCCATGGTTACAGCGTTTCATCACAGCAATAGTTTGGAAACAGCATGAAGGGAGTTAATTCAGTGAGTGAATTCCAGAAAAGAATGTACTTTTGCCGGGCAATGGTGGTGTATGTTTTTAGTGCCAGCACTTGGGATTCAAGGGCAGGTGAATCTCTGTGAGTTTGAGAGCAACCTGATCCACAAGAGCCAGTTCAAGGACAGGCCCCAAAGCTACACAGGAGAACCTTGTCTTGAAAACCCCCCAAATTTTTTTAAAATTAAATATTTGGTAGAGTTTGGTTGCAGCAGGCCTTTAATCCCATCACTCAGGAGGCAGAGGCAGGTGGATCTTCTCTGAATTTGAGGCCAGCCTGGTCTACAGAGTGAGTGACAAGATAGGCTCCAAAGCTACACAGAGATACCCTGTCTCGAAAAACAGAAAAAAGAATGTACTTTGTGTCTGACTTCACTACCTCCCAGGCCTTGGGCATCTGAGAAATGTTACACCAAACAGGGAGACAAGTGTCAAGCCCTACTTGCCAAGACCTGCTGACCCACTGTGCCATCACTGCCAGTAGGACTGGGCATGTAGGCTGCCCCAGAAACTCGTGTATGCAAGCTGTCCTCAGATATCACCACAGGAGTGGATTGAAATGTGCTAAACTGACACAATGCCCATATTCCCAAGAACAATGCCAGCATTCTCAGCACAGAAAAGAAAGCCCAAGTTCATTGGTGAATTACATTGAGATCATGCTTCAGAAACTCATATTCCACCCAAAGAGACACTCAGGGAACTCAAACTGTTTCATCTAAATTGGGGTTCTCAACATGATGGTCTCAAGCACTTTGGGGGTGAGGTGACTATTTCACAGGGTCACTTAAGACCATCAGAATACACAGATATTTACATTATGACACATAATAGTTACCAAATTATGTATGAAGTAACAACTAAAATAATTGTATGGTTGGAGGTCACCACCACGAGAGGAGCTGTACAAAGGGTCACAGCATTATGAAGGTAGAGAACCACTAATCTACAAAATGCCCTCAGACAACACTCTGGATCCCATGCCATCTAGACAGACCCCGATGATTCAGTGATCTGATCACAGCCTGCGTGGTGACCAGGAGGACTCTGCAGACACCCGAGTCAGCAAGAACGCACACTACATCACTGACTGACATCTTGTACCAACATGACAATGAATGCTTGCTCTGAATCTAGATCCTGAATGTGGGCACTGGACACAAATAGTCCAAGGATGTTGGCCTTGTCTGGAGTGATGTTCCACAGCCTTCTCAAGCCCTACTTACCTTTTCAGAGTAAGCAGGAAACATTCAGTCATTTTAGTCAATTGAAGGCAAAGAATCACTCACTGGAATACAAATGTTACACCAGTTTCTCGAGTTCTGGGACAGGGGAAGAGCACCATGGGAGGCTGGTGGAAGCTGCAGGTGAAGAAAAGAATGCAGATGTCAGTTACCTGATTAGTCCAAGACTGGTTAGAACAGAAAGAGAAAGAGGCTCCTGGGAGGGGTTTGGCTTGACCTCCCTGGGGTGGCATGCTCTTCTACTCATGGGAACCCGTGCCCTGCACCCCCAACTCTGCTCTGCAGGAAATTTGCCCCTGCCTCTGCCCGTCCAACATCTCAGCCCCAACCACACGCTCCTCCCTTTCTTACAGCTGCCTGACTGGAACTAGAACTTCCTATGGGAAGACTCTCCTCCCCTTCACCCATCTCATGCCCTTGCCTCCTCACTGTCTTCCTTTCCTCTCCCTGGGTCATACACGCCCCTCTCCTCCTCTCTGTGCCTTGCCCTGGGTCTCCTCACATCCTGGGCTTACAGACATGATAGGAATCAGTAAAATGTAAGATAAGACACAATGTATGAATGAAAGACAAGTAAGATCTATGACATGGGGTGTGTGTGTGTGTGTGTGTGTGTGTATGTGTGTTATGAATTAACTCTAGAGAGGTGATATTCATAAAAGAAGGTGATTTCTTGAACTATGAAAGAGTCACCCACATTGATAAGTTGTTATTAACTCTACATACCACCTGCTGCCTGCCAGCTACTTCACTGTGTGTATGATGAATAATTATGGATGTTACAAACCATGCAAAGGAATCAATTTAGGGATAAGATGGAAAAAGTAATGCAATTTTTGCTAACAAGGACATCCCAGGACAACAGATTGCATGATGGACTTACCTACTGACCTCACAGTATAATGGAGACAGATACTACTTAAGACCATTCCAAACTTAGTCTTAAAATCTAATATTCCCCTGAGGTCAAACACGTAGCGCGCAATCTCGTGCACGCACACACGCACACACACACACACACACACACACAGAGGAAATAAACAGTTGCTGGTGCACAAGTGCACACTTATGTACACATAATGCTACAAATAGGTACATGCATGCACACACACAGATTCACGCACTAACACACACACAGACACACACACTCACGCATGCACACAAGCTTGACTACACTCCAATGTTCTTGATGAACATTCAATTGTACATCTGTTATCAGCTTGATAATTCACACAAAGTTCAAAAACACATGGCATAGTTGATGCTTCATGTTCACAGTGAGTTCAACAGGGCTTCCTAGGATAATTCCACATGAAAACTATTGGACAACAAGCATGGAAGGAGGTCCATGCTTAGACCGAAAAAATGAATTTGTGTCATTTTTTGAAATAGAAATAGACATGAGGCTTTTGTCTGCAACCTCAGGTCCAGAGAGATGGTGATGCTGACTAGAGCCATGGAGCAGTAGGTGAACTCTCAACTGAAATACAACCCTTTACAGGACATAAAGGGGGCAGCTGTAATTTAACAGAGCAGAGGAAATGATCCCAGGTCACTATGCAATTCCAGAAGTGTTACAGAGGAATGACTTACATCACATACTTAAGATTTAAAACAAGAAAATGAAACCAAAGTAAAATATGACAAAAGATTTTTAAGCAAACAATTAAAGTGAACACATAAACATAAACCCATGCCTCAACCAAAAGCACTGAATGCATGAATCAAAACGACAAACAAAAAACAAAATCCAGCCAAAAAGAGGAAATCTCCCCATGTCATGGTCCAAGAGATTTGGAGAATCCAGTTTATCTGGACAAATGGAGAAGACTAACTGCCCTCCACCCCCCAAGAGATGCTCTGCAGCATCGATAAGCCCCACCACTCTGCAGGGCTTATGTGAATCAATGTCCATCACTTCTCACCAAGGCATTTTGTGATGTCACACTAAGGAACGGTCTAGTAGCAGCTGGGAATAACCCAAAGATGTTGCTCTCTCCAGCTCCAGGGACTGCATAACTTTGGTCAAAATTGTGAGTAAATCCCTAAGAAGATGTATCTTAAAGGGCAGTGGGAAACTCTATTCTCTCTCTCATGCTCTCAGAAGACAGGCAGCTAAGCCAGATGAGAAGATGGGGACTTGGCAAGATGGGTGTGAAGCAGCCGGGTACATGACTTTGACAGGCTCCTCCTGCATCCAGTCACCCAGTTCCTCCTGATGCTTCCCACATACCTGGGCTTTTAGGTCTTCCCAAAGTTCACATCCTGCTAGAGCCCAAGCATCTAGATACCAGAGAAGTTTTGAGACCACTCAGACCAAGCCTGAAGAGGACACTTGGACAGAACCTAGGAACTAGGTAACATAGTAGATGCCAGGAAATAATCAAATTGAGGGCTGAAATCAATGAAGTGGAAACTAGGAAAACAATACAAGGAATCAATGAAACGAAGAGTTGGTTCTTTGAGAAAATCAACAAGATAGACAAACCTTTGTCCAAACTTACCAAACAGCAGAGAGTTAACATGCAAATTAACAAAATCAGAAATGAAAAGGGGGACATAACAACAGACTCTGAGGAAATTCAGAGAATCATTAGGTCATACTTTAAAAACCTGTACTCGACAAAATTCAAAAATTTAAAGGAAATGGACGACTTCCTGGATAGCTATCACTTGCCAAAACTAAATCAAGAACAGATAAGCAATTTAAATAGACCTATAACCCCTATGGAAATAGAAGCAGTCATCAAAAGTCTCCCAACCAAAAAAAAGTCCAGATCCAGATGGCCTCAGTGCAGAATTCTACCAGAAATTCAAAGAACAGCTTATACCAATTCTTCTCAAAGTATTCCACACAATAGAAGCAGAAGGGTGTTTGCCAAACTCTTTCTATGAGGCTTCAATAACCTTGATCCCCAAGCCACACAAAGATACAACTAAGATAGAGAACTTCAGACCAATATCTCTCATGAACATTGATGCAAAAATACTCAATAAAATACTGGCAAAACGGATCCAAGAACACATCAAAACAATCATTCACCACGATCAAGTACGTTTCCTCCCAGGGATGCAGGGATGGTTCAACATACGAAAATCCATCAATTCAATCCACCATATAAACAAGCTGAAAAACAAAAATCACATGATCATCTCACTAGATGCTGAAAAAGCCTTTGACAAAATCCAACACCCCTTCATGATGAAGGTCTTGGAGAGATCTGGGATAACAGGGACATACTTAAACATAATAAAAGCTATATACAGAAAACCAACAGCCAACATTAAACTAAATGGACAGAAACACAACACAATTCCTCTAAAATCAGGAACAAAACAAGGCTTTCCACTATCTCCATACCTGTTCAACATGGTACTTGAAGTTCTAGCTATTGCCATATGACAACAAAGGGGAATCAAGGGGACACAAATTGGGAAGGAAGAGGTCAAACTTTCACTGTTTGCAGACGATATGATAGTTTATATCAATGACACAAAGAACTCTACCAGGGAACTCTTACAGCTGATTAACACCTTCAGCAAAGTGGCAGGCTACAAGATCAACTCAAGAAAATCAGTAGCCCTACT